AACAGGTTTTGGCATGGGTTTACGCTATCCAGAATTTTCAAAATTCTCGTCGTCTGTCAAAATTCTATTATCTAACTGAACAGACTTTATTTCAATATATATTTTTGAAGAGCACAAGTTATGTATATATATATATATATGTATATATGTATATATATGCTATATATATATATATATATATATATATACTGTTTTTTTTTTTTTTTTTTTTTTTTATATATATATATGTATGTGTGTGTGTGTATATATTTTTTTTTTTTTTTTTTTTTTTTTTTTTTTTTTTGTATATATATGTATATATATATATATATTTTTTCTTTCTGCAGGTTAGCATGTGTTAACGCCAACGAGTTTTGGCATGTGTTAACGCCAACGAGTTTTGAGATGTTGCATTTCAACCTATAATTTTATTTTAACCGTTTTTTTGTTTTTGCTAACAGGTTAGTAAATTTATGTCTATGTGTATAAATGTTGTAAGCTCCTTTCTCTCTCTCAAATTTGGTTTAAAAATATTAATAGGAGGGACTCGACATGAAATGCTCTCCTACCTGTGCAAAAACTATTCTCCTCCTAATAATCTGAGTCTCAAACAAGTGCTCCCAAACTGAATTTAGAAATTCTAGCAGTTCCCACTGAACACCACAAGAATTGAGATCAAAGACTAGCAACCGACAAAACCAAATGAGAGCCGCTTTAGTGGCAATAGGAAAATCTTTAACAGCATTTCGTAAAGAAGGGGGGGCACACGAGAATCTGATTAGGATGACTCCAAGCATTGTAATCCCAAAAGCAAATAGGTTTTGTTTCAAATATTTTTGTTAACACCCAAGCCGAACGGATCATTTAGATTAATTTTAAATCTAAAAACCTTCAACAAGTTTATTAAAACAGAACATTTTAAATTAGAGGATCATAAAATGGTCAAAAAACTCAAACTAAAAATATGTTTCTTGAATCTTTAGACCTCAAGGGTGCATACCACTTGATCCCTATACATCAACGGCATCGTAAATATCTGAGATTTGTGTTTCCTGGGCAACTTTATGAATACACTTGTTTTCCTTTCGGCCTTAATACAGCGCCTTATCTATTTACCAAACTGCTGAAACCCGTATTATATTACTTACGGGAACGAAGTTTTATCGGTGTTATATATTGATGACTTTCTATTAATGGGCCGTACTTATGAAGGGTAATCTATTAAATATATGTTACAACAGATTTAAGTTATAATTAATTCGGAGAAGAGCGTTTTTGTTCCATGTATTAATATTAAATACTTAGTTTTTTTCCCAATACTGTTGATAGTTGAAAATAGTGTTAAACTTACCATTCGAGAGTTTGCGAAATTGATCGGGATTTTATTGCGGCTGGCCCAGATATCAAATATGATTGGCTTTATACCAAAAATAGCGAAAGAGGAAATTTAGCTCTAAAAAAGTCATATGGGTTTTATAAACATGGAATAAAAATTACTTCTGGTGTTTTAACTGACCTTATGTGGTGGAAAGATCACCTTTCTAGCAAAAAATACTTTTTCATAGTTTGCAAGTAAACTAGAAATTTCAGTCATAGTTCCCTCACGGGTTGGGGCGTTTATTGTAATGGGGATAAGTGTCGGGGTTTTTGGTCTAAAAAGATAAAAGTAATCATAAATTATTTTTTTTATTTTTTTTTAGATAGTTTTTAGCGACATTTTTTAGGCTAAAATGTTTTGCGAATAATCTTGTTAATTGTGAAATATTATTGCGGATAGACAATACTACGCTATGGCTATCAGAATGGGTGGCATTCAGTTCCCACATCTTAACAGTCTTGCTAGGGAAATGTGGGAGTGGTGTGAACAGCGCAACTTAGTTATCTTTGCTTCTTATATAAAGTCACAAGAAAATTTTAGTGCTGATAAAGAATCTCGTTGCCTAGATACTGAAACTGGATTTACGATTGCAGGTATGATTCAAAAATATTTGTAGAATTTCCGAACGCCGGAAGTTGACTTATTTGCTTCCAGAATTAATGCAAAGTGTAGCAGATTTGCTTCTTAGTTTAAAGATCCTAGGGCTGAAATTATTGAGCATTTATAGTATTATGGGCAAACTATACTTTTCATGCTTAAAATAATTACTCCACTGCAAAAAATAATTGCAATAATTTGATAAAGATGAGGGTATCGTAGTGGTTCCCTGGTGGCCAAGTCAACTCTGGTCCGTTATTTCAGTCTCTACTTATCAAAAAGTCATTAATTTTTGCTCCTAATGCTCAATTATAACTATGCATTGATAGGACACCCCATGCTCTATATACCAACCTTTCCCTGGAAGCAGGTCTCTTATCCGGCAGGACATGATCGTTAGAAAGGTTCCAGAAGAGGCTATTGAGGTGTTAATATCATCTTTGACATTGAGTCATCGATAAAACAATATGGAAATGGGTTAAAATTATGGTGGTATTTTTGCAATCACAAAAAAAAAAAAAAAAAAAAAGCTAAACGGTAAACATTTATAGCGGTAAACACTGTACGCTTTTCTCTTGCATTGCTAATATCACCACAAGTCGGTGAAGATTATCAAATTAAAAGATTTTTAAGGGTGATTACCAAAAATGACCACCTTTACCCAAGTACCATGTAACATGGAATCCGACATTAGTTTTAGATTATGTAGGGACTTGTTACCCTAATGAAAAAATTAGTTGAGAAATGTTGACACGTAAATTATCGAAGGTAATGGCCCTGATAACGGCACACAGAGTACAAACATTTTCATTAATAATTCAGAAACATCCAAATATCGGAAAAAAAAAAAAAAAAGATAGAAATAGAAATAGAAATAAAGTTCCAGCCAGGAGAATTAAGACAACAGCTCCCAATAAATACCAACTCTTATTAATTATTTAAAATTAAAAATTTTTTAATAATTTAAAAAAAAAAAAAAAAAAAAAAAAGAACCAAAATATGTGCTGCGAAGTGCTACTTAAACAGAACCGCTGTTTTAAGGCAAACAGACAAACTTTCACGACTTTTCCTCACTTACAAAAAAACCCATAAAGAAGCAACCGCTCAGTCTATCAGTCGGTGGATTCGTTGGGTCTTAAATAAGAGTGGAATTGATACATCTGTTTTTACGGCGCATAGTACCAGACACGCCTCCATATTGGCAGCTATTAACAGGGGTAACATCGATACGATACGTAATATAGCAGGGTGGCACGAGTCATCTCAAGTGTTTTCAAAATTTTTTAACGACCTCTAATGACTGATAATTTTGCGCAAGCAATAATTGTCATGCAATAAGCAATACAACCTTAGAATTCCTAGATATAGTATTTACAATCGCTAAATATAAATATATATATTTTAAATTTACTATTAAGGACAATTTGTTATTAAGTATAATCATTTAGTGCGTAAGTTGGCCTAGAAAAGTATAATCTAGGGAAGTTTTTTCTTTAAAATTTTATATATATATTTTTTTTGTTTTGTTTTAGAATAAATAAAGTTTTCTAGTGATAGGTTTTTATTTATTCTTACTAAAACTGTTGCTCTACTTTGAACATCTACATAGTGATCTAAGAGGAAGAGGCGGGGAAATATAATTATAAAATTAAACAAACTTACCTAAGTGAAGTTTGATCATAATTATATGACCGCCTCTTCCGAATAGATCACTCCCTCCCTCCCGGAACCCGTGATCTATTCTATCGCAACAGTTCCGGCTTTGAAGTAATGAATTGAAGACGGCCCGGCGTGATATATTCCGAGAAAGGGTATGGATCGACACAATTTTTTGTTTGGCTTTAAAATGCGTGGCTCCACCTTACGGCGAGAGAGTGAACTACATAGTGATCTAAGAGGAAGAGGCGGTCATATAATTATGATCAAACTTCACTTAGGTAAGTTTGTTTAATCTTATAATAATTGCTCCAAATACTAAAAAACTGAATTTTGTATGGGCATTAGACAGTGTGATAAAAAGTAACACCTTAAAAATGATATTTCATTTTTTAATAAATGCTTATTTATAACAACAGAGACTTTAATTTGATAACTTATTATTATATTGATTTCTGACTCAAATCCACATTTATTTATAATAATTTATTAACGAACACAATAATTAAGTATGTAATTAATTAGTATATGGGCGGAAATAATGGTGTTATATTTAATTAATGGTATACTCTTTATAAAGGAATTTAAATAGTTTTCTTTTTGCATACAAATGGGCTAGTAATATCGTTTTTGCTAAAAACGATAATATTTCTAGTCCGACACTAACATATTTTGTACATTTGTTGCTTTTTAAAAACAATCTAAAATGTCAATATTCCATGGATATATATTGATAAATGAGGTCAAGTATAAGAAAATGCATTTTCTACGAAAACTTGAAGGGATAGGTAAAAAATGGTATAATACAATTTGATAGACAATTTAATTGTGCATCTGATTCTCCTAAAATATACAGGGCATTCTATTTAAATTAAAGTTATTGCCGTTTGAAGCTAATAATTTAAAATAAATTTTAGACACTCTGTATAAGGTAGTATTATTTTTATTATTGCAACACAATAACTGATCAATAAATAAACTTCATTAAATATTTAGTATTAAAAACATTGACACCCTTAGGAGAAATGAAGCTTTAAAATTTTACTGCAATTTCACAAAATTGAGAAATATTTCTTAAAAACGGTAAGGTTTAAGTATAATAAACCATAATCAAATTTACACTTATTTTAATCCATTAGGAAACTAAAAATGTAATAATATACAGGGTGTTCTGTTTAAAAAATACAACTTTTGATATTTATTATTTATTTGGGACACTCTGTATCTTGTAAAATTATTTTTAAATTGTAGCTCTAATAGTCCTTCAACGAACCCCAAACTTACAATTTGTAAAAATCTCATCGTTTAGCTACAATACTCCGTGTCGTATGTGGTGAACAACCCTGTAGAAACTAATGTAAAATTTTTAAAATATAATAATAAGACTTACCTAATAATTTCGTCACAGCTCCTTGCTGCGTCAGCATATGCTGAGCCAAGTCGTAGTGCCTCAGCCCGAACCTGGACAATTCCAAAAACCTCTGTTGTGACACCAAAGAGGCTAGTGGATGTCCGGGAGGGACACTGGCTCCAGCATAAAGCTCTCTTAAAGCTGCTGGGCCTAGAGATGACTGAATTGAAGATGAGACTGATGGTCCTGTGGGTGTGGACACTGGGTTTTGGCTGGGAAGTGAAGCAGATGTAGCTACTGTAACAAAAAAATATTTAAATTTATAATACAGTAGCAGTTTCTTAAAATTAAATAGTAATTTCAGTATAACGTACCCAGGACCGCGTTCAACAAAGTTAAAGAGCTAACATTTTGACCAACTGTATAACAAACAGTTTAAATGAAATAAAGGAACATACGTTCTGCTAAATATAGTTTTATTCTGATGGGGGCGCTCAACACAAGCAATATTAGGAAATTTTGAAAAGAATAGGATTTGTTAATCAAATGTTTAATTTGTAAAGAGACCTACTTACTTTATTAAATGAAATGAAGAGTGTTCACAAGGGCGCCTGAAATTCACAAGAAAAAGGAGCACGATAAATGGGCAAATTAATCACTATTCCAGAGAATCTAACTATACTGTTCTGAACTTTAATAAGAGAGTAATAATATTGCTAATAATAAAAATTTAAAAATCAATAATGATTTATGTATACAGAGTGTCTTAAAACTGAATGTTTTGGACATTAATACAACTTGTTATTACCAAAAATTATTTTCATGTCCAAAAAACATATTTGAAAGTATTTAAAAAGCCAGACAGATAACTGATTTCTGAAATAGAGGCTCTCCAAAATGAGTAATTAAAACTTTTGAAAAACAAGCTTACTAATTTTTTTTTTAAATGGTTTTTGATATATTTTTATTCAATAGATACTTATTATATTAATTCTTGATAATTTCAATTAAAAATAAATCAGAATTTATGAATTCATTCAGTTACAAGTTTCCATAATCGTATAGCGTCATCAGGTACACATTTCTCCATATTAGGTACCCGATTTCATATTAGTACTTAGTAATCGTTAATCTTTAAAATTTATATCACTTAGTATTCGAATAAGAAGTGCAGAGATTGGAAGTATGAAAAAAAGAGCAACCTGACAAATTGCAATCGCTTAAGCTTTGACCATATTTGATAGCAGCTGATGTCAGTGTCAAATGATATATACCAGGTGGATTGTGAAAAAAGACGTATATATTTAATTTGACTAATAAATAAGTGTAGGCTATTTTTAGCAATTGATATGAACAAATATTATTTTTTTCAAACGTCACAAAAGTACCTATTAATTTTGCGACGTGTTTGACGATATAAAATAGTTATTTTTTATACAAGACGATAAAATGGTATTTTTTTTTTTTATTTGTTTATTTATTGTAATGTTTTTTGCGCTATACAGGGTGTCCCAGAAATGAGTGCAGATATTTTAAGGGGTGGTAGATCTGGTCAAAATAAACATATTTTTCTCTTTACCATTTTTTTAAATAAATTGAAAATAACCTTATTTCTTTGAAAATTTAAAAAATAATCGCAACATTTTGAGAACCGCCGCAGATATCGCCAACTACATCCAATTACCCGGGTCAAGCCCGGATTTCAGTTAGTTCGACGCACTGTGTTGCCATAGGGACAAGAAAGTATATGTTAAAAGTAAATCATAATAAAATCACGACACCTGAGGAGTTTGCAGAGATGCATTACATTTTAAGATTGTGATATTGGCCATAAAAATAAATTAAAAGTTAAATGTTTAATAAATATGTTAAAAATGTGTTAAAAAAGTTAAATTAAAAAAACTTACCCAACATTAAAAAGATACTTATGACAGATCGATGTAACTGTGACAGTTCTCTTTTTTGATATACACTTAACTAAATACACTTCACTGTGCTGCTTTACTTGTACATGCTGGATTATTATAATAACTACTAAAATAATAGTCCCAATTTTTAACACATTATTTTCATATAGGCCTGATGCATTTCAATCGATTTACAAAACACCCAGCAGAAAAGCACACATTACTTTGAATACCTTTCTGAATGAATAAATGTTGAGAAGTATTGTCTCTTACCGCCACTTTAAAACTTTTAAACTACTTTTCAATCTAAGAGAAAATACATGTTTCACTCAACAATTTTAAATGCGTATTTTGTTTTTTCGCTATTTTTTCTATGTATTTCAACAATTCCATCGACAGCCCAATCGTCGCGTCGGCCGCCGGCCAAGAGAGCGGCGCATCACTGGATGATCACTGGTGACTGCTCCTTTGTCGCGCCGCCGTGTCGAGCTTGCGTCATGCGAAGTTGCCGTAGTTTCAACAATTTCAAATTTAAGACACTCGAACCAATCAAATTCTTATTAAACTTTAAAAATAAAACAGAAAAATATGAAAGGAAACACACAAAACACAAATGAATTGGTTATTGATAAGGGCACAAAAAAGAAATTTCTAAAATGTTTATCGTAATTCAGAATTCAATACATCGAAAACAGCCCGACGAATAATCAATTCATTTTTTGTTTGTTTATTTCCTTTCATGTTTCTCTGTTTTATTTTTAAAATTTAATGCAATTTGATTGCTGATGTCTTGAATTTGAAATTTTTGCTTCACGGCAACGTTGCTTAACATCGTCGTCTGACGCAAGCCCGTCACGACGGCGCGGCGACCAGCGACTCAAAGGACCAGTTCACACGCGGCGGTTCTTGGCTGACGGTTGGGCTGTCGATGGAATTGTCGAAATACATCGAAAAAATAGCGAAAAACAAAATACGTTGTCAATAATTGTTGAGTGAAACATGTATTTTCTAAGATTGAAAGTAGTTTCGTAAAGTGGCGATAGAGACAATAATTCTCAACGTTTATTCATTCAGAAAGGTATTCAAAGTAATGTACGCTTTTCAAGGTGTTTTGTAAAACAATGGTTCAAATAAAACAGAGAAACATGAAAGAAAACAAACAAACGAAAATGAATCAATTATTCATTGGGCTGTTTTAAATTTCTTAATTGAATTCTAAATTACGATAAACATTTTGGAATTTCTTTTTGTGACCTGATTGTGAATAATATGAATCATTTATTAAATTTATTCCAAAATAAAGTTATTTTTAAGCATAACAAAGATTTTCGTAAACGTCATAAACGTGTAATGTTTTAGTTAATTTTCGGTGGTTTTTGTTAATTTTCATTGAAGGTAAGTACTAAAAATAATTGATAATGTTTTTTCTATAATTATTAATAATGAGCACTGATAAAAGATTAAATTTAATATTCCTAATTTTTTGAGTAGAAATGTCTATGAATTTATAAATGTAGAACTATGTTCCGCCGAATTATGTAGAATATGGATAACATAGGAGGTTGCAACACTGCAAGGTTTGGATACACCGTAGAGAAATCTCAGATGAATAAACAAGTGGCACTAAAAAGGTTTTTCAAAATTCCCGGAACATGTCAAGAAAAATTTTAAATTTTCAACATTTTTTTTTTCGCAAAAAAAACCTCATAAGCGTGTTTCTGGGGTTGAACTATACTACCAGCTAAAATATTTGCACTTATTTCTGGGACACCCTGTATATAAACGATATACTTTTTATCTATAAGCTATAAAACGATATACTATTTATCTTGTAAATAAACAGATAGTCTTCATATTGTTGAATTTCAAAGCCGAATTCTGAACACAATGATTTTTCAATTCTGAGATATTTTATTACGAATTAACGAATACAAAAACATTAATAGTGAATAATAAACTATATTAATTAACAAGCTTTAATTTGAAATCAAATCGATTAGAATTAATATTAATTTCTAAACAACAAATTCAAATTAACCGGTAACCAACCAGTTCTAAGGCATGATAGAATTTAATCGTTACGAGCGAACGCCGCATTAATATTAATATTCTCCAGCGAAAAAATCAGTGAATCCAATTAATTAATATATTACTTATAATGTATTCCTATTAAATACCGATAATGTAGCTTTTGTACGGTATTTTGCTGCTTGGGAATGAGTTATGAGGACGAGGAGCGTATGTCGAGATTAGAAACAAGCGGTAATGCAGCTTGATTGCTTACAGTTTCCTTCGGGCAGTCAGTAGCCAGATTCCAAAAGAAAATTATTTTTCCTGTTTTAATTCTTGTTGTAGTAAAATGCTACAAAATTTATCATCGACTCTTTGTAAACAATTGCGTAATTAATTAGAAAGTGAGAAGTAAACACAGTATGGCAAGGGAATAGTTGAAGAGCAGATTTTCTAGATGCATTTTGTCCTTTTTTTTTCGCCATATTTCGCGACTGCAAGAAAATCTACAAAATAAAACAGTTATTTTTTGTAAGCACTGCTACGTTAATCCAACGAAAACTACTAGTCAGCAGTTAAGTTTGCCTAACGAACAAAATTCAAAAAAAATTCAAAATTCTTTATTCATGTGAATTAGTGTTATTAATCGGTTTAAAACGTTCTATGCCTTCCGATGCCATCTCTCCATGCCTGTCTGTCTCTCCATGCACCGTCTCCGAGAGGTCTTTCCTCCATAAACGTGTCAATCCCTTCCTGCCAACTTCTTCTTAGTCTACCCGGTTGGTTTCTTCTTCCTGCAGGTTTCCGGTTTATAATTTACTTTGGGATTCTTATTTCTGCCATTCTTTGGACATGCCCGTACCATATGAGTTGACTGTTCTTTATGTCGTCAACTATCGTATGTTTAACTTCCATAATCTCTCTTATGCGTTCATTAGTTATTCGCTCTAGTCTTGATTTGCCTGCTGATCTTCTCCAAAAATCCATCTCTTTAGCTTCCAGCATTCGTTTTGTTGTTTCCTTAATTGGCCAGACTTCACAGCTGTACGTGGTTATACTCTTTATGATGGTATTGTATATTAAGTTTTGTTCTTGTTGTTTATGTTTCTGTCCCACAGTATCCTATTCAATACCGTGATAGCATTCCTTTCAAGTTGGTTTCGTTCTTTAATTGCTGTATCCAACAGTCCATCATTTGTGATTTGCATACCCAAATATTTGTATTTTTGTGCAGCACTTAATTTTCTTCCCTTCTTCTAGTATTAGATCTTGTTGTTCTCCTCCAATACACATATATTCTGTTTTGTTAGTATTGATCTCGAGTCCCCATTTCTGATATTCTTCTATAAGCTTAAGTGTCATATAATTTATGTCATCGTA